TGATGCTATCCCCTGGGAGATGGAAATCCTTTCCACACCTGATGGATGTCATGCCTGGTTTAATTCCAGGACGTCAGGAACTAGAGGCCACCTGTCTCTGCCCACTCTCCAGCTGATGTTAAAGAGATCCATTTCATTCTAGTGCTTATTCTTTGCATATTCCCACATGTGAATCTGCCAGCAGTGTCTGTGCACATCACAACCCTTTGCACTGTATGAGGTTTGGGAAGGGCAGTGCAGGCTGTGTTGTCACTTCCATCCCTTTTCATTCCGTAATCTAAGATGCAATACTTCTATCTGCAACTACACTCATTCACTGGCTTCTCCTCAGAGCATGAAAATTACATCTTTCTCTTTACTTTTTAATACCTTTTGAAAACCTACAGTGGTCTTTCGGAAGACTGAAGTTATTCTAAAGGAAATCATCTAGGAGCACGTGAGGCAGTATCATGTCCCAGACAGCGGTCAGTGACATGGAGAGGTGACAAGCTAGAAGGAACCCAGCTGGAGTACTTGCCTTGGTGTTCACTTGTGGCATCTGTCCATCTGCAGCCGTTGTAGGGCTGGTGAGGACAGTTGTATGTCATGGGAGGTTCCCGATAGTTTATCATGGTCTTGGAATGGGAAGCCTGGTATGCCAACCTTATGAAATTTAACCATGCCAGGTGCAAGGTCCTACACCTGGGTCAGAGCAATCCCAGGCACAGCTACAGGTTGGGCAGAGAAGAGATTCAGAGCAGCCGTGCGGAGAAGGACTTGGGGGTGCTGGTCGATGAGAAAATGAACATGAGGTGGCTGCAGTGTGTGCTCGCAGCCCAGAAAGCCAACCGTATCCTGGGCTGCATCAAAAGGAGTGTGACCAGCAGGTCGAAGGAGGTTATCCTGCCTCTTTACTCTGCTCTCGTGAGACCTTACCTGTAGTATTGTGTGCAGTTCTGGTGTCCTCAACAGGAAAAGAACATGGAATTGTTGGAACAAGTCCAGAGGAGGGCCAGGAGGATGATCACTGGACTGGAGCACCTCCCGTATGAAGACAGGCTGAGAAGGCTGCGTGGAGACCTCATAGCAGCCTTCCAGTATCTGAAGGGGGCCTATAGGGGTGCTGGGGATGGACTCTTCTTTAGGGACTGTAGTGATAGGACAAGGGGTAATGGGTTAAAACTTAAACAGGGGAAGTTTAGATTGGATATAAGGAAGAAATTCTTTACGTAAGGGTGGTGAGGCACTGGAATAGGTTGCTCAGGGAGGTTGTGAATTCTCCATCCCTGGCGGTGTTCAAGGCCAGGTTGAACGAGGCCTTGGGTGAAATGGTTTAGCGTGAGGTGTCCCTGCCCATGGCAGGGGGGTTGGAACTAGATGATCTTAAGGTCCTTTTCAACCCTAGCTATTCTGTGATTCTACATTGACCATGGAGTGCACAGAGGGGCATCACACTTCCACAGAGTCAGTTACAGCATCTGTGAGTGACTGCTCTGTTGTGCTGTTGTGAACAGCTCACCAGATTAGTACTCGCTGCAGGGTGGGATCTGTGTCAGTTTGAAGATGCTGGTTCCCCTTCAGCTGATTCCTTCTGTGTTTGGTGTGGCTTTTCTCAAAATGCAGCAGGTTCCTTTGGGATGAGGTTGATGTTGTAGAAGTGGAAACAATGATTATCGTGTTGTATTTATGCAAAGATGATGTGCAGAATTTGTCAGACAGCACTATGTACCTAATTGGGAATTCAACTTCCAGCTGGTAGATTGAGACTGAAAGGCATAGCAGTGGGATAGAGACGGGCAGGCACAAAATGCTGAGGCTCCTAATCTACTACAATATGTTTGTTTAATACAAAGTGGTCTGCTGAGATTGTGTTGCAGTGTAGAATAATCATTGTGTGCTGACTAATGGGAGACAGCAAGCTGTTAAAGAGCATCAATTAACTGTACAAGAGGAGGTTATTGAGTATTATCACAAGCGTTCAGTATGTGAAGAGTAAATAATATTACTTGAAGGTAACCCTCAGAGAATTTTAGCTATTGAAATCTACAGACCATAACAAGAGTATTTGTGGATATGCATATGGTTGCAGAGCTTACCAGGAAGAAGAGTGCAAAAGGAACTTGAGCTAGCTTTCCAGCTCCAGATTGTGCTGAGACAAAATAAATAGTGCTTTGCTAAACTTGTTCTCTTATTTCATATTTATTACTTTAAAAATTTACCCTATTAAATTTATCTAGTGTTGGCTCAGGAAATATTGTTCTCCTTTGCAGAAGATAACATGTGCAGTACCCTTCTGATACTCAGATTTCAGGATTTGGTATACTACTTCTGCTTTCCTGACTGCCTAACTGTAAGGCTGTTGACATTGTCCTTACAGCTGCTCCTGCTTCAGTCTAGTAATTCCTATTCCTGCTATTGCACTGAGTTAGAACTCAATGTACTTAATGCTGAGAGGAGCATGCTCTTCCATCATGTGTCTTGCACAATGGAAAATTCTCCAGTTTTGGGCGGTGGAGAGTATGAAAACCTATGTTCCATTAGAATACTTTTACATAGCCGTACTAGTATTCTGTCTGAGTTTAATGTGAAAAATAAATCATATTTTTTGGGCTCTGTTTGCTGAGTGATTTTATTCTTTGTAAGTAACGGGAAATTTTTCCCATCCAGTGTTAAATCCATTTTGTGCAAACAAAATTTTCCATTTATTCATTGGCAGTAGAGAGACCAGATAACACTGAATTTATTTTTTTTTCAGTTTTGTTTCTTCGAAAGTGGTGTAGCAGAGTAGGACCTTGGATAGTCTTTTAGCCAACAGCAACAGATGTCCTGGAATTCCTTTGGGATTATGGTAAAGAGAGACCCTTGTTTTTTGAACAAAGAGAAAGACAGGCTTCTCTTGGCATCAACTTTCTATTCAAATGACTTAATCAACAGTGGTCTCTGTTAAGGGATGATTCTGCATTGATGACGCTTTTAACATGTTAGGAAAAATTCAGAGAAATTTACTCCTTTTCTGATTTGATTGATTTTTCTTAATCTTTTTTTGAGCGAGGGCAGGGTGGAGAATAACACATCAGAAGACTGTGGAGAGGATTAATTACTTGGCTGAGAAACTCAAGAAGATAGTCTGATGAGAGATGTGGGATGAGTGAAGCCGTGGTGAAGTTGGTGTCAGTGAGGAAATTCAACTGTGATGGCAGCCCTTGTGCCTCCTGTGTTTCATACCATAAGAGAGCATAGGGTGATCCTCTGTATGTCATAAGCTTCTGAACTGGTTTCAGTAGTGAAACCCTCCTGACTAATCTATGGGAAAAAAAACACCTTTTTTCTCCGGATATGGAAGCTGAGCAGTTGTAGCTTGACAGTGGCAAAGGCAGGCGGGGCTTTGCTGCTTTAGGACTCTTGTCCTTGCAGCTGGTGTTGCTTTGAGCTCTGACCAATCTCTGACGCCTCAGAGAGATGCCAGAATAATCCCTGACTTTACAGGGAATTTGTCAAAGCCCTAATATGTGAAGTACCAATATCTTAATGCAGATCTGCAGATTTAAAACCCTAAGGAGTTGTTCAGCTTCACCCGCAGCCAGGGAAGGGGGGGGGTTGCAGAGCAGTTTCAAGGCTGGAAGGGGTGTCATTAGCACTGAGCTTGACCTGAGCTGAGCTTTGGCCGAGGGATTCATCCCTGGAGCTGCAGTGAAGCATTTCATGGTCCATTATCCTCACAGCAGGAAACAATGTCTTATTCTGAAGCAGAATATCGAACTCAGATTTTCATCCATTTGATCTTCTTATGGCTTTGTCAGCAAGGTCTGGTCTCTCACCACCTTCTTTATCACTTTCTTTTAGGCTCTAAACCAAATTATATATCTGTCTCTGTTAACAGAATAATTTGAGCTCTTGAAATTTCATGCTGTAAGGCTTCTTTTCTGCGTTGCAAGTCATTGCATGACCTGCTTTTGAATCCTGATCTGTTTCCCTGTGGTTTTTTTTCAATCATGAACTCCAGAACTGTGCACAAGTTCCAGGAGAGCTCTGGGATTTGTGCAGGTTGCAGAGGCACCATCACTTTTCTGAAACTTTGCTGCTTTTTGGCTGAGCTGATTTGGCAGCTTGTTGCTGTAGCAGAAACAGAAAATGTCATTGGGCCAAGAGTTGTTTCCCTGAAGGCCTTAGCAGGATACCTCTTCTTATGGATGTTTCCCCACTGACAACTGCATTTTGAGATGAGTCACTGAATTTGTTTAATCCACTAGTAAAACTGGCAAGGCAATTACCATCTTGCAAGTTCTTCAAATCAAATTCTTAGAGAACATTAAATCAAATGCTTTGGAGAAATACCAGTACATACAATTGCTTTTATCGTCCAGACTCTGATTCTGTCATGAGAAAAGCTTTGTTTTACTGTGCCACATCTTCAAGTGAGTGTGCTGTCTGGTACTCATTGTGGTCTTAGCCTCTACTTCTTTGTCTCTCTGCCGTTATTTTCCTTCTTCTATTTGTTACCCATAATGAGAATTAAGAATTAAGGAATTTCTTGCTTACAGTTGTCATCCCTGCTTTTTAGAATTGCCAAGTACAGAAAGCATTTGCAAACTGGAATAAGACTGTTAGTCATGAGGCAATTAATCTAACAGTGTGGTGGCTTAAAGCACAGCTGTGATGGAATTCACTCTGATGGGTCTCCCTTTTTGAGCCATGTATTCCTCTGAAGTCAAGCCACCCACTCCTGGGTAAGAGGGAAGCGTGCAGAGCCCCTGTGTATCAGTCATCAGTGGAGGGGCTGGTGGACTGTCAATCTGCAAAAAAAATGACTACAGGTGACTGAGGCTGTTGCCTGGTAGAAAGCACGTTAGCTTAATTCAGTTTTCACTGCCATGCACTTAAGCTTACACTCACAGTGGGCTTTTTTCTCGTTGGTACATCCTAGTTCAGTTATGACATTTTGTGTTGTTTCTTGGCAGGGGGATTTTTTTCACAGAAATCTACCATAGTGGTTTTTTCTCCCTTTTTCCTTCTCTCTACAGGTGAAAACAAGAGAGGAAGAGCTACAAAAGGAGGAGTTCTCTGCCACTGCTAGAAAGATACAGGAACATGTTGAACTAAAACTGTTAGATCTTACATACCTTTGTGCTCCTCCCAAAAAAAGAATGCATGGTTCTCACAGACTAGTGTTCAGAAGCAAACATCCTGCCAGCAAAATGGTCTTTGGTAGGTCTGTATCCAAGGAGTCTGTTTCAACTGTCAGTGCTACAGAGGTGATCAGAGAACTGCAGATGAGAGAGGCCAGCCTGGCAAGAGAGCTGAAGCAACTGCAGGAAGAGAGCAGACAGAGGCTGGATGAAGTTGCAGAAGGGCTGGATGGAGTGATTTGTATCTCCCCTTGAAGAGGTAAAGCTGGACTGAGAGGAGCAAAGGAATAGACTTGACTTGATCAGAACATACTCTGCAGCTTGGCATGGGGGAGTGTGAGGTGAGGAACCAAGTGTAATTTCTGATTTTTAAGCATGTCATAACTTGTTACTGCTTTGTGATTTGCACTGAGGCCATGACCTTGGTGGTTCTCTCTGCAGCCTGTTTATTGCTAACCTTGCCAATTAAATTCTGCAGCAGGCCTTGGTGGGAGTGTGCATAGATCGCCTTTTTATCTTCCAGATTTCTAGTTCCTCTGCCAAGCAGTGGCCTCTCTTACGGTGCTCAGCTGCTAGGCACAGCATACATTGACACTGCACATTGAAGTACTAATTGCATTCAATATTTTCCAGCAAATGAAAGAGTTAATTAGTCAGAAAAATCCAGGTATTGGAGAACGTGCAAAGTACCAAAGCTTAGATTGAAAATGTTCAGGAAAGCATGCTGGTCTAATTCAGCTGGTTTGCATATTTGTGGGAGCTATAATGCAGTTGTCATAAGGAAAACCAAATACCTAATAATAAATAAAGCTGCACACTGGTTTCATTTACTGGTGTGTTGCACTTGAAGTAATTGGGTTCTCAGAGAAAAAACTCAAAATCTCTTCCACCGAGTTATGAGTCACAATGAAGTAACTATGGATCTGCTATAGGAAGTTCCTGTAAAATAGAAGTATGACCTTAACTTCCAAGCTTGAGGAGTCTCCAAGCTCTGTCTCTGGAGACCTCTTCCCCTGGAACATGCAAATGTTTCTCACTTGGTTTTCATTTCCTACCCTTTTCTGTTTTGCTTTCACTAAAGAATATTTTTATATTCTGGTTGTACACTTTCAGAATAAATAAATTTTGAGAAAACAGCTTGCTTTTCATTTGTGAATTGCTGTGAGCAATGGGCTTTCCTCCATCTGGATTTCTGTCTACTACCCCAGCTCAGTGATGTCGCTGATTACCAGCTGCTCTTGGCTCACTCAACAGCCAAATATCAGGAATTTTTAAGGACCTTCTTCCTGGCATCAGGACGGTTGCTGCTCTGCAGGGAAACTGTGTGCAGGTGGGAATGGGTGGACAAGGCTCAGGTCTCCTGGTTTCTGCTGCACCAAGTAAACTTCAGAATCTTCCAGACACTGATCATTTGCACTGCTCGTCATGGTTCTCATGCAGCCTTGGCAGGAGTGAGTGGCAATGCCAATGTCAGTGGAGAGCCATACAGGGGGAGGGCTGGTTTTCTTTGGCTTGACCCTGTTGAATGCACCATTTCTGGTAGGCCGGGAGTGTAGAAGCTCAGTTGAATATGGGCCAAGTATCAGACAGCCTTTCTTCTTTTTGGACCTGGTGGCTTGTCCAAGGACCAAGCTTGAGAGAAGTGCAATTCTCAGCTAAAGGCATCAACTCAAGTGAGCCTTACACAGATGGGACAGCCCCCAGGAGTGGGGTGTGTGTTGACCAAGGCTGTTGCTTACAACTAGCCTGCCTGCTGTCAGCTGGCATGACAAGCATAGTCCTGGAACCCCAGTCGGCCAGTGAGATCCATCTCTGGGGCAGGTGGCCCCAGGCTGCTGCTTCTGGAGGAGTAGTCCTAACCTTTAAAAGCCAACCCACATTGTTCTGCTTTTCACACCACCTCTGTAGGCGCAGGGTACCAAACACTGAACTGTTTCAAGCTGATACAACTTTGGCAGGGTGTTGGCTTCAGGGCCTGTTGACGTTCAGTGCACAAGAGGGCTAATTCAGACACAGGTTTCACAGAAAATTATTAATGAATGGGAAGGAAACAGTATATCCTAGAACTAACAAGAGTGCTAGTACCAGTCTCTCTCTTTGAGCATTTTATATCCTCCTTCAGCTTTTATGCAAGCTGTATCACATTTAGGTTTAAAACATTGCCCTCAAAAGATCCTTTGTTCTCCTGGGGTTTTCAGCAAAGAAGAGTGGGCAAATATTCTTGAGCACTGCAAAAGCACTCAGATTCAAGTACAGGTCTAGCTCATGCCTTGCTATGGCTTACTGGGGTTGGCCTAATGCTGAATGTCACGATTTATTATGTTGCCATCCACTTAAACTGACAGTAGTCACTCATGGGATGACTTCCTTCAAGTATTTGTCAGTGCATAGCACTTAGTGCAGAGTGCTTCAGTGTTCATCCCAGGATCCTGTCTCAGCAGAGACCACAAGTGGCAGTGCCTTTCCCCTGCTTGACTGTGAAGAATTCTTTTGCTCTCTAATGGAATGTGGAAGATGACGGTGCTGTCTGTATGTATCTGCGTGTGCGATGTATAAAAGTGCCTACAGAATTGCAGCTAGCTGCATTTGCTGCATGGCACAAACCCGGGTACTGAGGTAGCCATATGAAAAGCTGTTAGAAGAACCAGCAGGAGCTGGAGCTGCTTGTGCTGGCATGTACATCCAGAGGGGCTACAGCTGAAAGCAGCTTAAAAGAAGATTACCTTTCCACCCGTGGTGCTGTGCTGGCATTACACACTTCAGACACTTCATGCGAAGACCATAGGCAAGTAGAGTTTCTATGTTCTGGCACTGTTTTCCCACTGTCATTTCAGGTATCAATTAGTTTAAACCAGGGCAGATACTCTGTGGTCCCTGTTGAAGGTCAATGCAGTCTTTCAAGCTGGCAGTGGTTTTAAAACCAATACCTGCAGTCCCCTCGTTCCTTTACCCCTCTTCTCATCACCAGCACGGAGCACAAAATGGGAAGTACGTTAAGGGCTTGATGTTCTAATGCACCAAATTTTGGAGGGTGGCTCTTCTGTGAAGGCTGCTTTTTAAAAATCCAGCATCTCCACAGGAGCTGGGCACAGAGGGACTGAGCTGTGGTCATGCCTCAGCGACTGGTCACAACTTTTGATTGCCCTTGAGGAATACTTCTGCATCTGAAATGCAGATACTTTCCAGCCCTTGTGAGCTTGACAAGGCATCAACTGTCTCTCCAGTACTGCTGGGAGATGCTGTATGATAACCACTTAAAATCCCAAGAAAATCCTCCCTGTATTAATATCAGCTGCAGTGAGGGCAGGAAAGTGTACTGGGTGACTGCAGTCACACTTAATGGGGTATAACCTAGGAACAGATAGATGTCTGTCACCTTATACCATTACCATGGCATTTAAAGTGGTTTCCTATACTTGTTTTAGCCTGGCTTCTTTCACCTGCCATCATAGCACACTGGTTTTAAAGGCTGCAGTGACCTTCTCAGTCACCAGGGCTTGGGTCCCTGTCAGCAGTCGAAGATGCTGTAGGAGAGTGAATGGCTGCCCTGGGAGATGTGCAGTAACCAACAACCAGGTGACGTGCTGGTCTCTGGCAGATGCAGCGACAGGTGGAAGATGTCTGAAGCACTACCTTTCATCCATGGCTCAAACATCCTCTGTAAATGTGAAGTACTACTTCACAGAAATTGGAGAGTGTTGTAAACAACCCACTACAGACTGAAAAGCAAAGATACAAGCTGTTAAGTGGTTTGTCCTTTGCCATATCACTATGCTGGTTGTACGTTTCCATGTGAAAGCAGGAATCTGCCCTGAAGTTGTTGATGGAGTTAAACAGAGAAGAGTGGGTATTGGCTGGAGAAGCTGGTAGAGAGTGAGTTGCACATTGTGTGCCACTGGTTGCTAACCTCAAGTAGTGGGGGAAGGCTGGTGTAGAATAGCAGCAGGCTCTGTCTTGTTTCTTGAAGAAGCTAAAGCTGTTCTCCCTCCTGGTGTATCCTAGAGAGAGTTAGTTTAGACTGGGTTTGGATTCACTATTTCTAAGGGATCTCAGGAGGAGAGTAGCATATTAGAGATGATGGCCATGCTGGAAAAGCAGGAAACGGGTTAAACTAGGAGTCACCAGAGATGCTGCACATGGTCATGGGATACACCTGAACAGGGTCAGGCAGGAAAGAGCTGTCCCACGTGTTCATCTGGTGATAGCTCACAGCAAGGTCTGTCCATGGAAAGCTCCCCTAACCACTAACCCTCCTTGTGGGGCTGGGAGCTCATGACCATTTCTTCCAACATCTCATATTGTTTCGCTGTAGACATGCTCCGTTACTGCTGCGCAATGTTTAAACCACACACTGGTGATGGCTTCCTTCTCAAGCACAGCCTTAAGAGAAGCTTTTACAGGACTTCTGTGCTAGTAGGCAAGCATGGAGCTGTTCACAGAAGAGCTCAGTTTAACCCGTTTCTCTGATGTAACTGGTTCCTGCTTTCCAAACATCTTGCTAGGAAAATTGAATTGGCCATAAATACTTAATTGGCTGATAACTCTGGATCACAGTGTGTAGCTAGAAATATTCCTCCCCAAAAAATTGAGCATCAATCAGCTTGCAGTCAAAACAGGAGGTTTACTTTGCAAGAGGCAAGCGAGGCATCTGTAGTCATTGCTCCTGACAACATTGCGCCTGCTGGTAAATAAGGGCTGCAACCTATGTTTAAAAATAAGAGCTGCTGGGAGTAGTGATTTCCAGCCTAGAGTGTTTTGGGTTCCCTGTGGGATTCCTCCACCAGCTCCTGCAGGAGGATGAGCTGGTAGCAGTTGGTGTGAGCGTGTGTGTGTGTCAGCATGGTGCATGCCTAGTGGGAGTAAACACATGCCTGATGCCTCAGCTCCTTCTCCTCTGACCTTCAGCTGCTTGCAGTGAGAGCCTCGGGTCTGTCACCCTCACCCTTTGCCTCCAGGAGCCAACAGCTTCTGTGAAGCAGTCTGCCGGCACCGCAGCTCCTCAGCTGACATCACAAGCCCTTGTGGCTGGTGTCCTGTAGCCCTGAGGCTGGGAAGCTGCTTGTCCTCCCAGCCTCTCTGTACCTCTCCTGTGTGCCAGCTGCTGGGCCATGGCCAGGTCCCTGTCCCCAAGGAATTTTGTTCCCCATACTCTCAAATGGGTGACAAGGAAGATGGAGGTGTGCAGCCCATGTGAACTGTGTGAACATGGAGTCTCATGTACTGCAAGCTCCTGGCCTGGGGGTGCTTGTCCCAGACCCAGCTTTGGGCCCGATGGGCTTTGTGCACACAAACGACTCTGCCAGTCTTGCTCCATCAGCCCAAGAGTGGCAAGGCAGCCATGTCCCACTAAGCCAGGGAGCTGCAGCAGTCAGGTGCCTTCACTGTTAATTGTGCACCTGATTTTCCAGCATGAATCTTAGGGTCTGCATCCAGTCCTTCTGGTTTGCTTTCTTTTGCAAGGCTGGAGAGCCTTTAACTCACCAAGAAATAGTCCTCGTGCAGGTCCGTCCAGACACCGAAGATGAACAGAGTGCAAGCACTTTGCAAGTCCATAAGGCAAATTACCTCGAGCTTAACCTTTCCTCGCCCCTTGGCTCTCACTTGTTTCACACTTTTTAAGTGGGAGGCAGACAGCTGACCTCTGTTCGGTCCTGCAGGACCCTGGCTCATGTCTGTGCCTCAGGCAGCCCCCAGCAGCTGGGGAAAGCAATTCCCAGCAGATCCCAGGGGCTGATACGGGCAGCAGGGCTGGAGGGGAGAGGCTCAGCCCTAGCAGCCAGCCTGGTCAGGGTGGGCATTGGGCTGGGAGGGAGCCATGCTCATTTGGTGGCTCATGCTTTGATTTAGCATTAAGTACAGCTAAGAAATGTTTGAGCGTTAGCTTTCTGGTGTGGCTGACTGCCTCAAAGACAAGCAAACAAGGAATTCACTAGGGTAGCTGTCAAAGCGGGCTCTGAGCCCTTACTAATGCTCTCTGTCTCCCATTTGACCTTATTAACGCAGTCTGGTTGTTTTGCAAGATGCTTCCTTTGCCTTGCAGCAGTCCACAGCCACTCTGGAAGGAGCCAAGCTGCAAAACCTCTGTAAGGACCAAATGGCTCAGTGGAGCATGACTGGAGCGCTGGGAGGGAGCAGG